AGGACATCGCAAATTCTCCTGTGGGTTGGACCACTGGCTCAAGGGGCTGCACTCCCTTACCTCTCACCTCTTTCCTTCTACCTGATAAAACACAGGAATATCTGGATCCAGACAAGATGGAGCCGGTGTTGCCCAGGTAGGGCATCTGTGGGGAGGCAGGCAGCAGCAGCACTCTGAGGCTGGGTAGTGGCAATGGCAGCAGCAGCAGTCTGGGGCCAGGAGCAGGTGCTGGCAGTAGTGGCAGTACTGGCAGAAGTGCTCTGGGGCTGAGCAGCAGCAGCAGAGGTGGTGGTAAGCTGGGGCATGAGCAAGAGGAGGATTATCACTAGGAAGTGCTCAGAGCCAAGCAGATTCTTTTCTCTGCAAGGGAAAATTCCTCCTGCACTGATCCCAGTATCAGAGACATGGTGACTGAAGCTGTGTGCCTTTTTCTCATCTCTTTGCCATCATTCTGGGCTCTCATGCTCTACACGGACCTCTAGTCTCCTGCTGCACTCCTATACTTTCCCACTGATACTCTCATCAATATTTAGTTTGTTTTCCTGGTTGTTTTCTGTGAGGGAAATGCACCCTGGACACCACTAATCCACCATCTTGCCTCCAAATTTATGACCCGTATTTTGGATATTGTTGAGTTATTGTTAATTTTCTTGGGTGTGATAATGGTATTGTGGTTATGAGGGATGGTGACCTTTTTCTTAGGAGATGCAGTGAAGTATTTCAATTTACAACTATTAAAAAGCAACGACAGCCAAGCTGGGTCCATTAGAGCTCAGGGGAAGAGGAGGAGAGACCTACAGAGTGCATGAAGGTGGGAGAAGCCAGGATGAGAGAAAGAAAGGATCGCTGCCACCATTTCAAGCCCTGGCTGCTTCAAGGCTGGAGCTGATGAGCACACAGAGCAAGAGCTGGCAAAAGCCGCAGCTGTGCCCTTCGTATGAAGCTGCTTGGAGGCAGCAGGGGAGAAGAGGGCCTCAGTGGCCCCTAGGCCAGTAAGACCACTAACAGGGTTCCCATGGACCCACATAGGAGTGAGAAGCCACAGATAACTGAAAAAGAAGCCACTCAGAGGCCGGTGAGTCATCTCTAGGTACCAGCACATGGCCTATCCTATGAGAAGTGTTTGGAGTATGGGCAGTGGAGGAGACTGGGCCATTGGGGGAACACTGGGGCACAGCAAGGACAGCTGATCTGCACCCCAATCAGCACAGGATCACTCAGGAGAGACTGGTCGGGAATATATAACTTCAGGGGATGCAGTTTGCTGAAAAGACTCGGGCCCAGACCAGAGTTTCCATGCAACCTGGATGTACCAGACCTCATGAGACCCAGAAGTACAAAGACAACCATTAAAACCTGACTGCACAAAAAGCCTTCCCCAGGGAATCAGCAGCAATGAAGCAATTTAGTTTAGCTCAACTACAGGGCTCAAGTGCTGGTCCCCACAGGAAGTTCCTCCATTTTAGAAGTAAGCAAAGGACAACAAATTAGTTCCAGTGTAGAGTTTAAGTGGTGCAAACAGCAAATAATCCAACATAGAACTGAAAGAAAAAACAAAATACTCACAGATCAGAGACAAAGTTTGATATTAACTAGTAAAGTTCTAACACCACCAAAGAACACCTGTATAACCTAGAAGGACCAGAAGCCCCCTGTGCTCCCCAGCCAGGAAGCGGGGAGGGCGGAGGGCCTCAGCCACACACCCCCAACATCCACAACCAACCCAGTGATGACCCCAAGCTGCTGTAGGAAGTGCCCCAGGCTCTCAAACAGGGACAGTTGGGGACTCGGGGCTTCAGCCACACCTGCCTGACATCTGCATCCAGCCCAGTGATGACCCAGACACTGCTAGAAGCTCCCTGGTCTCCCATGACAGAATGATGGGGTGGCTGTGGGCCTCAATGATGCTCCCCCTCCTTCCCCCTCTTCCCACCCTATTTCCCCTCCCCCTTCCCTTCTCCTTCTACCCCCCAAAGGTTCCACAACATCTTAGAAGAGTAGCTGGGGGAAGCTGAACCCAGCCGCAACTAGGTAAGCTGTCACCACTGCCTGGGAGCCCTACTGGGGACCGGTAGCGTGGAGCTGGGGGAAGTCGAACCCTGCCCACCCACATAAAGAGCACATTAAAAACACTGTTTTCACACGGGTAGCCCTCAGTAGCCACCACAATTGCTATGGCTGCCACAAAAGTGGCTAGTCTCTATAGCAGCAGTCACAGCCACCATGCAGATGGCACACCAGACTCTCAACTTCATTGACTCTAGGAGAAGCACCAGCGGAGACCAAAAGAAAAAGAAGAGGTTCTCTCCACAAAGCACACTCCAGAGTAATAGAAGCATCTGATCTATGATAATAGGGGAGGACCTGATCACACCTGTCTCAGTCCTGGACAGATCATCTAGGCAACAACCAACAGAGAACAGTTAATCTATCAGATGAAGAGAACAAATCTATGGTTATTAGAAGGTGGAAGGGGGTAAAGGGAAGAGGGAAGGGAAAGGGGAGAGGTTGGATAAGGGGCATAAAGAATAAGCATGATTTGTAACAATGATTATGCTAATAAAAAAATTAAAAATTAAAGTTTCTACTACCTACTTTGAAAGGATGTATCATTCAACAAGCCAACGTTTTCATTCTTGGGGGCTAGCCAGCTAGCTCATTTAGTTAAAGCATGGCCTTGTAACACCAAGGTCAAGTGTTCGGTTCCTCGAACTGACAAGCTGCCAAAAATTAAATAAATAAAAATGTTTTTATTCTTAAATGTTTATTGACCTTTTACAAGTGCCAGGCATAGCTGTAGGCACTAGAATGATAAAAACTTCTTTGAAGACTAGTTTTAAATACTTTATATGAATTGACTCCTGTTAATATCCCCACTTCACAGGTGAGGAAACTAAGGCATAGAAGGGTTCGGTATCTTGTTCACAGAGCTAGTAAATGTCAGCTAATTCCTGGAGTCCAAGTCCTTACCCTCTATGCTGTACACAGGGAGGGAAAACAAGTCCATGCCTACATGGGACTTCCATTCCACAGGAAAATGAAATCTGGAAAACTGCTGGGACCATTTGTAACCAACAAATATTAGTTCCTCTTTCCTTCCCCCAATTCCATGGCTAAAAAGTAGTGTCACATAAAGAGGAAGACAAGTCATCTGAATGCTACTGTTTGACTCCTTCGTTCCCTTACTCTTATTCAAATAAGAAAAAGGAAACCAACAGCCGTGATAGGTCAGTGGTTCTCAAACTTCAACAGGCCTCAGAATTACCTGTGGGGCTTGCAAGAATACTTTGCTAGGCCACTCCCAGAATTCTGATTCAATAGGCTGGGGTAAAGTCCGAGAATCTGCATTTCTAACAAGTTCATAGAGTTGCAGATGCTGTCACTGCTGCTGCTGCCACTCAGGGCACCACAGGTGAGAACCACTGTCACAGAACAACCCCACAACACAGGTATTTTTGTTCCCATTGTAAGAAGAAAACTGAGCCTCAAAAAGGCCAAGTGCCTTACCAGCAGCTACACCACAAATGACTGACAAAGACAGGATTTGAACCCAAATCTATCTGACTCCAAAGGCCATGTTGTTTCCACCACACCTGAGTTAGAGATTTAATATTCTAGGATTTCCCCATTACACATCTGTTTTTTATTTCAGAATTTCTGTTCTTGAAAGGAAAAGCCAAGGTTCTGTGCGTGAATGCATAATATATTTTCATTTCCAACAAGAACAGAAGATGGTTTTTGAGTTATTTTTAAATATTTCTATTCACCTAGTAATTCTCTTTTAGAAATCAATACCATGAGGATGATCCAAAATATAGCCCAAAACACAAAGATGTTAAGTGTTTTAGCAAAAACTGGGAATCTAAACATCTGATATCAAGAGAATAGTTAAGTAAATTATGGTATATCCAAATGACAGAATATTATGAAGCCATTGAAAATTATTTATTTAGAATTTTTTATAACATGTCAAAGTATTTATAATATTAAATACGGTAGAGCACAGAACTATATTCAATAAGCTCTCAATGTTATTAAAAATATTGAAAAAAGACTGGAAGGCAATAAACTGGAACGTTGACAATAGTTGTCTCTAATTCTAATAATTTTCTGTACTTGCCACTATCTACAATCAGCTTTCTTTGAGAAATCATGCACTTTCTTTTTGTTGATTAAATACAACAGATACTTTTAAGACTCTTCTACAGGTAGTCAATACCTGAATAGCTAGGAAAATCAAAACTGTGAATTTTAAAGCTAATATTTAATTCCAGATTACATTTTCCCTGACCGTAGAATGTACATTTTTTAAGGAAAAAACAAATGACAATCATTATTATACATACACAGGAAAAAAAGGTTAGATACATGTAAAAATGATAACGAATTAATTATGGTTAGAGAAATTATATGGCTTTTTAAATCTTTTTAGGTTAACAATTTTTATTACACTTTCTACAATGAACACTATTATTTTCATAATTTTTAAAAAGTGTTTGTTTTTCTTTTTAAGAGACAACCACCAAGCAAATTACAGCACATCTATGCAATGGAATATCAATAGCCATTTAAAAAAATGTTGTAGAAGAGTATCTAATAACATGAAAAAAAGTCTCATATATTATTAGCTGACCATACTATAAAACAGTATGTTCAGAATGATCCCATTGTTTTATTTAAAAACAAACAAAATGTCTATGTATAGATAGAAAACACCTTGGCAGGAAACATACCAAAACATTGTGTTTTAGTCTAGGGGGTAGAATTAGAGATTAATTTTCTTATTTTTGCTCCTGTAGTTTGATCAATCCTCCTCTACTGTATATGAATTACAGTATTTTTCTAATACACACACAAAAAAATTTTTTTTTAAATCTAGATTAAACTAAAAGTTTTGTTAAATAAAAGAAAAAGAGACAAGCAGGAGCATCTTATTGAAAGGCTCTTTTTAAAAGTTTCCAGCTCCACCTCAACTCTAATGTTTAAGTCAATAAAACACGAAATCTAGATTAAACTAAAAGTTTTGTTAAATAAAAGAAAAAGAGACAAGCAGGAGCATCTTACTGAAAAGCTCTTTTTAAAAGTTTCCAGCTCCACCTCAACTCTAATGTTTAAGTCAATAAAACACGAATCTTCCAGCATCACAAGGACAGTCAGCATCAATCCTTCCTCCTATTCCAGACTTCATAAAGCTGGAGAAAGACATCAACTCTAGCTGCAGAGGTCACCCCTCCTGACAGGGCAAACACAATTGTCTGGAACCTTTAAACAAGACCCTGGTGGAGAAGTGGGTCTAGGGAAAAAAAATTAACTGCCTTCTAAGGCTATGGCTCTGATTACAAGTAATATAATTTACAATCATTTGCTTAAGGAAATGTACTGTTACGTTGCAAATAACACACTAACTAGAGAATTATACTCTCAGACCTGGCAGAGACCTCTGAGATCATCTGAAGACAATTTCCAGGACACTGTCTTTGGGATGCTATGTAAATACTGACTACAAACAATGACAGAGATGTCATGCTAGAGAATCTTAAGTAAACAGTTCAAAAGCCTGGCTTCCTGTTTATACAATTTTAAGTCACTTTTTTGCTAGCCACAAGGTAATTCAGCATTTTGATTTAATCTAAGAACATCTTGACTTTACACAATAAAAGAAACTACAAAGAACAGGTGAAAAGCCAGAAGATGAAGGGACAAAAATAAACAGAAGACATGTGCCTTCCAGACCAAACAATGAGAAATCTATGCAACTAGATATCAATTCAATCTATTTCCAGATCGCTATCCTCACTGTGACAGGTGGCAGAGTTACGTACAGATGTCAGCACCAAGACTTCCTTTTCTGGGAGTAATCCAAATTCCTGAAGAAAAGCTTCAAGGTCCACAGCAAAGAAATCTTCCCCCAGCTGGTCAGTGACACGAACAAAATTGCCAATCAATTCACCACTCTTGTAGATCAGCAGGGCTGGAAGGGCATTCCTGGTGAAGCGACTGCTGGCCCCAATGACTGAGCTCTTCACTCGGCAGAATTTGACAGCTGGGTATTCCGCAGCAAGGCAGATCATGCAACCATTCATAGCTTCGGTCCCTGGAATGCCATCCTCATAAATATGAACCATGATGAGAGTGCTTTTCTGTTCTTGATCAATCATGTCTAAAAACCTTTCTCCACTGGGGATCTCAAAAACCTGCTTGAACTGGGGTCCTTTGTGAAGTTGCTGCCGCATCTCTTCCATTCTCTGCTTCCGGTACTGCTGCAGAAACTCTTCGTCATCTTGGTCCTCATTCATCATGGCAAACTCCTTTAGAGTCATCTGCAGGTGGACCAGCAAGTGGTAACAGTTAATATGTACCATTTGCTTATAACATATGAGGCACCATGCTAAGTGCTTTCTATACATCATATCTCACTGAACTCTTATGATAACCCCATCAGGAAGGGACTTTTATTACCCCCATTTTATAAATAAGATTCCAAGACTTGACAGTATTTGCACAAATTCGCACAGGTAGTAAGTTAAGACCAGGACTCAAACTAGATTTTAAAAACCCAGACTTTTTTTATTTGTTTTTTATTTCTGGAGACTAGAGAACCAAGGTGGACGAATTAACTGTTGCAGGCATAAAATCTTAGGCTTTTAACTACCATCTCATATCTCCTCTCAATCCATATAGACAGCATATCATTTCAAGAATTTTTTCTTTTTGTCAGTCTTAGCAATGTATTATTTTATCCTGTTTTGTTTTTGTTGAAAAGGCAAAAGAACATTAAGGAACTTCAGAAAGAATACTCAAAATCCCTGCCCTGCACCCCCCGCAGTTACACACAATACACACACAGTCACATAACTCTCTGAAAATTTACTTTTCTTTTTTTTTTTTTTTACCAAGTCACACGCTGAAATAGTTTTGCTTTTATAGCAGCAGCCGTGGGCATACCAATTTAGATATAATCTGCTTTTGACACTTAGCATCATTATAAATATTTTCTCATGTTTCCAAATATTTTTATTAAGTTGTATGATTCATCATGTTGTGCTTAACCACTCCACTATTTGCATATTCAAGCAGTTTCCAGTTCTGTTCTAGTGCAGATAACTCAGCAGGACAGAGACAGCCTCCCTCAAGACGGACCCATGTTATCATGTGATTATTGCTTCATTCTGGCCTCTCACCTCTGTGAGCAAGCAGCTGTGAGCAGTGGACACATTGCACTGCAGCCAGCTTAAGTTACAAAAGCATCTTCCTTCTCCTCTCTGTTGCAACAGGACATTGCTGCTCCTGTAATAAAACCTAGCTCTGCCTAATCTTGTACAAATTAGGGGGTGAGGGGTGGGAGGACCACACTAGACCAGAACAGATGCTATTACTATATCATAACAGCACCACTCTGAGTTCAGTTTTATTTATTGCCAATTTTCCTCCCACCTCATAGCTCTCCACTCTACCTCAGCCTACCAGAGCACCTCTTTCTGATCTATTATGGTCTTTGGATGAGTCTAATGCCCTGAAATCATCCTCCTGGTCAAGGTGAATGACTCCTAGCTTAATCCTCTTATCTGCTCCCGGATGCTGGCTGGTATTTTAGCTTTGGGCCACAGCTACATGATCTCAGTCACTCCTGAACATTCATCCATGGTCAGAGGGCGGAGCAGGGGAAGCGGAATACAGAGTCCCTTTTAATAATGAGAAGATAAGAGGGAGTCAGTGACCTAGTTCCAAATATCTTCCAGAGTGTGCTTGCTTCTATTGTAATGTCTCCTTAGAATAAATCCTCATGAATAGGCTTCAGGTGAAACAGAGCAACATCATGGAAAGAACAGGAAAGTCTGGGTTAGAATCTTAGCTCCTACTAGCATTTATTAGTCGCATGACCCTGAACAAGTTACCTTCCCTCTCGAAGCATTGCTTCCATCATCTATAAAATGGGGATAATATCATCACCCTCAGACGGGTATTTCTGGCCCAAGGTAAGGCCTCAAAAAAAGATGAGAACTAACATTTCCTCAGCACTATCAATGGGCCAGGCATTGCAATGAGCATTTTACCCACACAGCCCTGTGGGAGGAGTTGGAGGTAAAGTGACTTCATTTAACCAATGAAAAACCAGACTCAGAAGGGAAAAGCCTTTCCTACAATCCCTAGTGGCAGAGCTGAGATTCAAACCTGGATGCGTCTGAGTTATAACACGGCTCTATACTTCCCTTTGCACTGCACAGCTTCTTGGAGGTCAAATCGAACATCCCCCACCTCTTGAATCACTAACCCAGTTATAGCAGCCAGAGCAGCTTCTAAAGAAAGCCTGGGTACTGCTCATTACCTTCCCACTGATCTTCTCCTGGAGGTCCTTCTGTTTCTGTTGCTCCTCCTCTTCGTCCAGATGGGACCTGCAGGTCATTGACAGCTTCTTGATCAGCCTTTCCATCTCCCGGCACTGCTCCTCCCTTTGCTCTGTCTCCAACTGCTTGAAGCGGCGCCAGTCATTGATCACACCTTTTGGACCTGAGGGGAGTGAACGAGGATGTGACCAAGAAGAATGGACAAGGAATTGAGGACCAGCTCACACATGTAGGTAGGACCTCACATCTGTCTGAAGCTTGCTCCACCTACTGCACAGTTAACAGCTGAGCCTCCCTGCACTCTGCCGCAGGGCACTGTGTCTACACACAATGATGTGCAGTGCAGCACAGTTTGCAACAATTAAAGGGCCAAGCTAACACGTAATATTAGAAGACATTAAATAAATCATGATTCATCTACTCAAAGGAAAATAAAGCAACTCTTAGAAAGAATGAGGCACCTCTATGTTTCCTGCCATGAAAGATATTCCAAATATATTAGGTTTAAAAAAAGCAAAATGTAGAACAATATCATGTTGTGAACCTCCAGTTTTTATAAAAAGAACTGTATGTGTACACATGAATATTTACATATATGGATATACATATATGAGGGCACCTCGAGGTTTATGGAAAAATGAAATCAGAAGATAATGTGAATCTTTCTGCGAACTTTTTAAAGTACCCGCATACATTTGTGCGCACACTGGTTATGTTCATAGAAAATGGGCTGGAAAGATATGTAAACTGTTAACAGTGGCTGTTTCCATGTAGTAGGATCTAAGGAGGCTGGTAAGAAACTTTTACTTTTTTCCTTCTACACTATGTATTACTTGAATTTTTTATAACAAGATTATGGCAGGTTGTATTATACTGTTCTGTTATTTAAGCTACCTTCAACCCCCACTCCCACGCTGTCAAAGGACTATATATCCTTGCCCCTTGCCATGCAAATTGCAGTACCTCCTGAGAGATAAGGACATATATCCTCAGCTCACTGATATTGGGCTTGGCCATGTGACTTGTTTCAGCCAATGGACTGTGAGCAAACATGACATAGGCCAAGTCTGAGCAAAAGATTTACGAGCCACTGCCATGTTTCCAATAGCTCTCTATGCTCAGACATGAAAATGCTGTGTCTCTAATAGTGGCTACTCTTTCAGCCTAGTTCCTAGAATGAGAGAACATATGAAGCAGAAGCAGAGCTGCCACTGACCCACAGGCTACATGGAACAAGTAACATGAGTGAGAAATAAACCTTTGTTGTTACAAGCCACTAAGATTTTGGGGTCATTTGTTACTACACGAATAAAACACAAAAATTTACACGAAGAAAACTTTAAAATGCTACCAAGAAACACTAAGAAACACCTGAATAAATGGAAAAGCAATACCATATTCCTGAATAGAAATATTCAACATAACAAAGGTGCCAATTATCCTTAAATTAATCTATATATGAATATTTAATGCATCCCCAATGAAAATACATACAGCAGATTCAACCAACTATGGATCAAAAATATCCAGAAAATAAAATAAACAACATAACAATAAAAATAATATAAATTTTAAAAATATATAGTATAACAACTATTTACACAGCATTTACATTGTATTAGGTATTATAAGTAACCCAGAGATGATTAGAAGTATACGGGAGGGTGTGTGTAGTTTATATGCAAATAGTATACTATTTTATACAAGGGACTTGTGATTTTGGTATACCAACATGGCGGGGGGGGGGGGGGGGC